ATTATCATTTTACTAATACTCTTTGAGACCAAAATTAGTATTTGCTCAGCTATGTAAATATAAAAAAGAAAAGTTTATAGGTGTATAAATAGCTGGTGAGCAGATCGGTTTTGTCTCAACACACACTCTCTCTCACTCTCTCACTCTCTCACTATCCCTGCAAAGCTGCAACTCATCTTCCTTCCTTCCATATATAGTGTTGGGTCTAGAGAGAGAAAATGTTCGCCGGAGAGAATGGTTTGCAAGGAGACCCGAGACTGAAGGGCATTTCTGATGCTATCAGAGTTGTTCCTCATTTCCCAAAACGAGGTAATTAATCTCGTTATGATGATATACACAAACATGAAGTGATTTTCTGCGTATGTATGTATATGTGTCTGTTTTACAGAAATAGTTATGGTTTTTTTTTTTTTTTTGTTGGGAACTAGGAATAATGTTCCAGGACATAACGACACTATTGTTGGATCATAAGGCCTTTAAGGATACTATTGACATCTTTGTTGATCGATACAGGCACATGAACATCTCTGTTGTTGCCGGTATTCTCTCTCTCTCTCTCTCTCTCTGTGTGTATGTATATGTGTTTTTTTTTTTTTTTTTTTTTTTTTTTTTTTTTTTTTTACTATGGAGAAAATGGATTTTTTTCTGTTAGCTGAGTACTGTGGTTAGTGTTAAGAACAAGAAATCTCGACTTCTGTTAGTGACTGTGGGGGTTTGGAGGACAGTTTATGGAAGCAGGTTTTTTTTATGGTGTTATGAAATTTAAATAATTAATTAAAAAAAAAAAGAAGAAATAAACGTACAGTTTATTCGTACAATTATAAAATATATATATTTTAAATCTTATAATTTGGATTAAAAAAATGAGATTTTTAATTTGACTTTTGGTGTCCTCACTGTCCTGTAACATCGGTAATTCTAAACTTTGAGGTTTTAATGTATTGGTTTTTTTTTTTTTTTTTTTTTTTTTTTTTAATGTTTCTGGGCTCTTTTAGTTGCTTTAGTTTTAGTATAGTATGATGGTTTCGGGTTGTGGAGATATCCTTGTGTGCATCGGCATTTGATTATGTCTATTGAACCATTGAGTCACTGTAATTTACATTCTCTCAAGGGCCAGAGTATGTGGATCCTTGAGGTTGGGATTGAACCTTTTGGGGAAGAAAAAATATAATTGTAGTATGATTAATGCATCTAATAATAATTAATAATTAATAATTAATAATATAATAATAGGTGTTGAAGCTCGAGGATTCATGTTTGGTCCTTCAATTGCTCTGGCAATTGGTGCAAAATTTGTTCCTCTTCGAAAGCCTAAAAAGTTGCCAGGTACCCTTCCAGTTTTATAAGTAATGTATAAAAATAGGGAGATGATTTGATTGAGTAGAAGCTAAGGTAGTGAAGTTAATTTTTTATTGGTGAATTTGGAAATTGGAAATTGGAAATAGTATAATATAATATAATGGGCGCATGCAGGAGAAGTTATATCAGAGGCATATGTGCTTGAATACGGTAACGACTGCTTAGAGATGCATACTGGTGGTGTTGAGCGAGGAGAACGAGCATTGATCATCGACGATTTAGTGGCTACAGGAGGGACCCTGTCTGCAGCTATAAGGCTTTTGGGTGCAGTGTCATCCTCATTTTTACATTATTATATATTTATATTCAATTCTGCTCCCTCACCTCTCATCTTCCTTTTACTTTCCAATCCATTCATACATACATACTAATAAACATGCATTTTTGCTTGCTGTTCTTATTCAATATTGATTAGAACGCGTTGGAGCTGAGGTAATTGAATGTGCATGCGTCGTTGGCTTGCCTGAGGTTAAGGTATATATATATATATTAATCCTAGCTCAGTAGCTCAGCTCCCATCATCTAATTAATTAATTAATCTAGTTTCTTGTTCCTTAAAACTTAGCTTACTGAGTTACTGGGATATGATTAATGCATTGCTCTGCAGAAAGCACGATTGCTGAATGGGAAACCTCTGTATATCCTCGTCGAGCCTAGCAAATGCCAAATGTTGTGATCCATCCATCTATCAAGGCCGGTATTCTACGTGTATCCATCTATCATGTTTAGTTCCATGATTCGATCTGCTGTCAAAATCTCAGTTTTTGCTGTCTATGTTCTTGTTGCTGTTACAGACCGATCGATCATGGGAATTGCGATAGCCTCGTTTACTTCAACTTGGATCATCTCAAACTCTACCTCGTGTGGTGTTTTCCATGGAAGTGTAAGAGGCTTTTGAGAGGAACATTAAAAATGAGGAAGATGGGATAAAGAAAAGGGTAGGTATTTGATATTGATCTGAGTGAGTGTTTTGATGTGTCACTTGCTGGGACAATTGATTTCAATTCGCAAATAGGAATATTGTCTCTTTGTAATAACATGTACGGACCAACATCCATCTCATCATCATCTTCATTATTCTCACCAAATCCAACTGCCGTATTAATAAAATTAAATATTTGACTAAGTGTATTTTGGTCCATTATGTGCAATCAAATTCGCTGTTGTAACCACAAATCATGTCTCTTTAGTCATCATCACATGTTATGCTCATTGTCATGTCATCAAGATTCAACCTAACATCGTCCTAAGTTCACTTCTCAATAACACCAACTTAGTAGCCTTCTTCGTTTGAATTAATTAGCTATGAACAATTTAAGCTAGTTTATTTTATTATAATCATTTGTCAGCTAGGGTTACAGTGTGGAGTTTACTCAATGCACAACTTTGAACAGTTTTTTTTTATATAAACCACAATGTGGTCCGGGTCTTTCTTTGTCCGTTTAACGGTCCAGGTCCACCCGGTTCGCTACGAAAAGCACAGAAACTAGCCCAGAGGAAATCGTCATTTTGGAGTTTACTCAATGCACAACTTTGGACAGTGACTAAGTTTTTCTCATCATCTAAAAAAATTGAGTTAATATCATCTGAGGTCCTCCGAGTATAGTGATTTTGCCACATTTAGTCCTAAACTTTCAAATTAACCATCTGTCGTCCTTCGATTTTCAAATATAACCATTTGTGGTCCAAGTTAACCACTCATAGTCCTTCAACTATTAAACTTTAACCAACCATGGTCCTTTCAAGAGGACCATAACTGGTTAAATTTCAAAACTTGAAGGGCCATGGGTGGTTAACTTGGATCACAGATGGTTAAATTTGAAAGTCGAAGGACCACATATGGTCAATTTGAAAGTTTAGGACTAAACGTGGCAAAAACCATTATACTCGGAGAACCTTAGATGTTATTAATACAAAAAAAATTCGTCTTATATTGTATTTGGATAACCGTTATACCATGGATCATGGTTCAGATTATAAAGTACAATTGACATATAAATTATTGTTTTAGTATATATATATATATATATATATATATATATATATATATATATATATATATATATATATATATATATATATATATAACCATCCTACAAACCATCTATAACCATATGAAAGCTGGACAATTCCTGGGCGTCATGCCCTACACAGAGGGTGGGAACGATGCTCCTAAAGCCATAACGGGTCAGTTCCACCCTCAAGCGTCAGGTCGGTCCCCCGCGGTACAGAGCTCTGCATTTTTATCCGAGGGAACCTATGCGACCATCCACAGGAGCAATGAAACTAGCCATCAACCCAAACCACCCTCATGCGTTGGACAGATCCCCTCCGGTACAGAGCTCTGCATTTTTATCCGAGGGGACTGTGAATAGTCCGCCACATGAGCACTGGTGCTCACCTCCACCCACCCTTGGAACCCAGGCCACCCCCGTACGTACAGATCTCTGCATTTTATCGCAGAGGGCTTCAACGGCCCAAAGTCCCAAGCGATGGCTCCCTAACCACTGGTGCCAACATATATACCACCCTTAAGCGTCAGGCCAGCTCCCTCGGTACAGCGTACTGTATTTTAACCCAGGGAACCTGTATAGCCATCCACAGAAGCAATAGCATATATGCTAAGCACCAGAAGCCCACCTCACACCCACCCAACCCCTCATAGAAACAGCCAGCCATAATTCACCAAGCATCATATCAAACACATATAAACAAGCAAGATTAAAGGAGCACTCCCACCTCAGAGTGTACGCTATGAATGAAACACAAGAATAAAATCCTGCATGACACACAGCTACAAACAGAAGCAGAACAGGCAAAGAGAACACAAAGCAGAAAGAGAAACCCCCAATACAAGAAGCCCCTTACGCCCCATGCTAACAAAGCCAGGAAAAAATAAAAAAATAAACCAAAGCTAAAGTAAAGAGAACGTAAGCAAACCCCGCCCTCAAGGCGGATAAGCAAAGTCGATGAAAACGTAGGGCACGTCATCATGGATAAGGAGAGCGCGCACCCTAGGCGGTAAAGCAGCAAGTGTAGTGAAGGTAGTCTCCCCAGGTTTATCGAGGACCCAATCTGCATGAGCCTGAGTCGGAAGATTCGCCCGGGAAGAGCATAACATGAAAGTGATAGAGCCACAGGAACAGATGAAACGCAGTCTGGAGGCCACGTCATCTATGTACCAAGGCGTGGTGACTGTAGCATCAAAGAAGGCCTCCAAGTCACGGACAGAGGTCTCCACCACTAGAACCCGATGACCTCCGTCCAGGCACCAAGTCAGACAAGAGAAGAGAACTCGGAAAAGACCCCGGATAGACTCCCTCGGTCTAGACCAGGCGACCCCATAGCAAAGCCAGCCACCCTGGTTGCGGACCAAGGCAGCCGCCCCCCCTTTCTGAAGCCGAAAGAGCAAGATTAATCTTGAGAGAACCAGAAGAAGGGGGGGGGGGGGGGGGGGGACCACCGAACAGCGCGGATCACTCGGCGAGGCACATGTGCCTCCAGATAGGACACGATCATCTGCCAATTAGGCAGGAGGATATGCTGGCCTGGCCACCGCCTGATCAGGCACTCAACCATGCCCCGAGCTACCCCAAACATAACTCGCGCAACAGTTGGGGTATCCCGACCGTGTAAGCACCCATTGCGTTGTTTCCAAAGCTCCCAAAGAACCAGATATGGCAACCTGCAAAGAACAAAAGAGCGAAGAAGATTATGCGTACCACTTCGCCCCCAGCTAGCGATCAAAGTCCGTAGACTCCTATGTCGTGACTGGAGGCCAAGGGACGCAAACACATGATGCCATACAGCGCGTGCTGTATCTCCTGAGTAAAAAATATGTGCAATGGAGTCTAAAGCAAGAGCTAGACAACACCAACACCTCGAAACAACCACGTGGCCGAAACGAGATAGGACGTCGTCAGTAGGCAGGCGACCCCGGAACACCCTCCAAGCCAAGAAGGACACATTGAAAGGAAGGTGTTTATGCCAATACTTAGCAAGGAAGGGATCCGGGTCAACAAGCCTAGCAGGTCGCAGAAAAGACTTCGCCGTAGCGAAAGATAACATACCATCAGATGCCAGGTGCCAAATAGGAATATCTCGCGGACCCTGCCCTAGACGGGACAAGTCCACCTGTAACCCAGCCAAAGCCAAGTCCGCATGATCAAATAAGTCAAGGGCGCCATCAGTAACGTAGTCCAGAAGTAGCGCACGGGAGTAAGAGACCCCGGGAAAGGATAAAGTCAGCCAAGCGGACCAAGACCCGACCAGTTGTCCCACCAGAAATTAACCTGGCCTTGGAACAACCGCCAGCCTATAGCACGCTCAACCTCATCACGAACAGCCAACATCCGCTTCCAGGTACGAGAGTCAGAAGTCTGGACAAGCTTTGCAACCGGGTGAACCCGACTACAATACTTGGCCCGCATAAAATCTGTCCAAAGCGTATACTCAGTGCGAAAAGACCACCACAACTTCGCACTAGCAGCACGCACCATCAAATCCAGGTCCAGGAAACCAACCCTGCCCTCCTTTTTGGGGAGAGCGAGATTCTTCCACGAACTCCAATGATACCGGGACCCACCAGACTGCCTCTAGAAGAAACTAGCAAAACAACGCTCAAGGTCCCGGATCACCTGCTTGGGCCGGGCACAGGCGGCGAAAAGATGTAAAGGTATCGCCTAAAGCACAGATGTAATCAGAGTGGCCTTCATGCCTTTTGACAGGACTCGCCGTTCCCAACCCAAACACTTGGCCTTCACCTTATCAACTGTTGGGCTAAAGTAGATGCACTTCTTCCGTCCCACGTACACAGGGCAACCAAGATATGTAAAGGGAAAATAACGGTGGATGCAACGAGTCGCCCTACGTACTCGTTGTAGCACTCTATCAGGAGTACGAGGATGCATGTAAAAAGCACTCTTCTGTAAAATGACCAACTGTCCTGAGATAGACTCAAACTCCTTGATGGCCGAAATAACAGTTTAATGGCACCCTGTCTGGCTGTACTGAATATAATGATATTATCTGCATATACCAAGTGGTGGATGTGTGGGGTGCCAGGTGGATGAGTGAAACGGGGGACTGCAGGATCCTCATAAACACGGGCCATGTAAACTGAAAGAACCTCAGCCGCAATGATGAACAAACTAGGCGACAAAGGATCGCCCTGCCGCAGTCCCCGGAACGAAGTAAAGAAGCCCTCTTTAATGCCATTAACAATCACCGAGTACCAAACATTGGACACTGCCCTGAAAACCAAGTCAATCCAGACCTCTGAAAAACCGAGGCGGCGCATCACTGAGGTCAAGAAAATCCAAGAAACTCGATCGTATGCTTTAGCCATGTCTAACTTAAGCACAACGTCACGCTTCTGAACCTGTAGTCCGTGGCACATCTCTGAAGCAAGTAGGATGTTATCAGTAATCGATCTCTCGGCCGCAAAACCACTCTGGTGCGGTGACAAAAGGCGGGGAAGAACCGTACCCAATCTAACCACCATCAGCTTGGTGACTATTTTGCTGCTGAAATTACACAAGCTGATCGGTCTATAATCTGCACAAGTCTCAGGATTCGGCTTCTTCGAAAGCATGACGATGGATGTGTGCCTGATAGCCCTGGTGAACTCTTTGCCCAAAAAATAACTCTATACAATCAGCACCACGTCAGCGCGAACAATATCCCAGCAAGCCTTATAAAAGGCTCCCGAGAAACCATCTAGACTGGCGGCGCTAACTGAACTCATCTGAAACAGAACGACCTTGATCTCCTCTTCCTCTGGTACCACAGTCAGCAAATCATTGTCGGCCTCAGTGACCAACTGCGGAACACAATCGAGTAAAGAAGTATCAAAGCCCCCAATCTCGGCAATAAACATGTGCTCAAAGAAAGATACTGCCTGTGTGGCAATACCCTCCCTATCCTCAATCCACTGGCCTGTATCATCTCTAACTCGGTGAATGAAGAGTTTCCGCCTGCGCTCTTTTACAAGAGAGTGAAAGTAGTGAGAGTTCCTCTCACCCTCTTGTACCTCAGTGATGTGCGCCTTCTGTTGCCAAAACTCTTCTTCTATCATGACTTGCTTTTGTAAAAGAGCAACCCCTTCCTTATATTCCAATAAAACGTGATCATCATCAGGGT